GAGACTGGCGCCGGGCCGGGTCCAGGGCAGCAGTTAAGGGGCCCGCCCGCCGGCCGGCCCGGGGGCCCGTCGCACCTCAGCCGCCTCTGCGCAGGGCTGGGTCGGGGGGCTCCCCACGGCCGCTTTGGGGAAGGGCAGAGGAAGGAAACCCCATCGGGGGTGTGGCGGGGAGGGATGGAGGCCGCGACCAGGCGCGCTCCCCCTCGGCGGAGGCAGCGGGGGGCCGCAGAGAAGCCGCGCGGGCCCCCCGGCCCGGACTCGGGGCCGGGTCTGGGGTGCGAGGGCCGCGCAGGCCGGCGCCCCGCCGGGAGGCGCCCAGTCACCGGCCCTGACTCAGCTAAAAGCCGGCGCGGCTGCTCCCCGCCGCGGCGCCGACGCCGGCCGCACTCACCCGCTGAGGTGATCATGGCTGCGCCCCGCACTCGCTCGCTCGCTCGCTCGCCCTCCCGGCCGCGCCGCGGATCTGTCAGCTCAAGCCCCCTCGCTCCGCCGCGCCTCCTCGCTCCGGGTGCGCTGCTCAGTCAGTCGCCTGCTCAGGCCGCCGGCTCCCGTCTCGCCCAGGACCCCTCCCGCCTCGGGGCTGTCCGCCGCCCGCCTGCCGCCGCGCGAAATTTCTCTCCACCTCCGTGCCGCCCCCGCCGTCTCGGCCCGCTCTAAAGGGTGCGGGAAGAACTCTCTCACTTTCTCTAGCTCGCCCGAAGCCAGAGTTTCCGCAGAGCTGGGGACAATCGTCCGCACCTGGGATCAGGCTTTAGAGTGGCCACCCCTGGAGAAAGGACCCCCCACCGCCCCCCCCGCCATCGCTGAGAAAAAGGGTATTAAGGGGAGGTGCCAGCCGTGCGCGCAGCGCCACCTGCCGTCTGGGCGGTCTCTCTGCAGCCTCCCCCAGACTCCGCGCTCCCGCAGGACTGTCACCCAAGCCCACCTTCTCTCCCGTCGGTCGCCCCAGCCCTGCGCCCCGGCTGGCACGCGCCGCCCCCCGGAGCTGCGGCTCCATAGCGGCCAGGCAGCGTGCGCCCTGGAACTCGCGCTCCCCCGCGCCCGCAGTTACCACGCTGTTCTTGAGCCCCCGTCAATGCCACCTCCTCCAGGAAGCCTGCCTTGACCCCCAACATGTGTCCCCTTTCGGCCTCTACTGCACGATGCACGAGCTGGAACCAGGTCCCCTCGCCCGTGTCCCCGCAGAAGGTGAAGCGAGCTCCAGCACCTTCTGAGAAGATTCAGGACATGGTAGAAGATTTGGCAAGAGCTCTGTTCGTAAACAACCATCTCCCTCCAAATTCAGGAGTGACACACACGCCCCAAAGCCCAGGCTGTGGCCCACACGGGCACGGACCCGGGGGGCCTCTGTGGGGTGCAGGGAGGAGGCGCCGCAGGTGCCCCCTCTGCGGTCGCCCCCCCGGCGGGATCCGCGTCCAAGCGCTGCTGGCGGCGCCCTCTGGTGGTCACGATGTTCCCAGCAGGCGGAGCCCCGGGGCGCGGGGTGCCGGGACCCCGCAACCCCGCCAGCCCAGGCGGCCAGGATGAAACCCCGGCTCTCTGGAGGGCTCGGCCCTCCGGCCGAGGGACGGACTTGGCTGCTTTATGAGGCGCGGCGTGGTGAGGGAAAGGGCTGAAGCCGGAGGGGGGCCGGGGTTCGATCCCGGCTCTGCCCCTGGGCGGCGCCGTGGCCCGGGGTCCCCCAGCCCAGTGTAGGGGGGGGTCCCCCCTCGCGCCCTTGGAGGGCTGGGCGTGGAGCTGCTAGGAGGCTGGGGCTGTTCCGCGCGTTGCTCCCCTGCCGCCCTCCTTAGGCTAAAAGCACTTATTTCTGGGAGCAGAAATTTGCAACGCTTTTGGGGGGCGGGGGCTCGGTGGGTAGGGCGGGACTTGGCTTGGTGGGCTGAGGCACCAGAGGGACCTGGTGGCCATCGGAAACACCGAGCCCTTTTTTTTTTTTTTTTTTTTTGCACAGAAGAACTGGGGTGTAGGCCAGAGGTGGGATGTGTGTGTGAGAGAATTCCAGAGAGTGGGGTGCAGAACAGGTGGATCTACTGAACTACACTGCTGAGGGGAGCAGCGGGCGAGCCAGGAGAGGTCTGCTGCACCATGTGGTAGCTCCCTGGCCGGGGATGGACTGAGGCCATAGAGGTGATCGCGCTGAGACTTACCCCTAAGCCACCGGCGAGCCCCCAAGCCCTTCCCTCTAAGGACCGGGTCCAGAAGGGCAGCTCCTGCCTCCGCAATAAAGGCTGGCCTGGGCGAGCTGATGCTGGAAGCCACTGTCCTCCCCTTGATGCAGGGCCTGGAGGACCTGCCCGCTCTGGGCTAGTGCCACGGCGGGAGGGGGTCGGGGGGAGCCACAAGGAAGCTTCCAAGACTGGTTTCCAGCAGTTCCCATGTTCTAGACTCTGGGTGTCCCCTGGTGGGGGGCGGTCACAGGTGGTATGGTGCCTTGAAATGTGGCTGATGCAACCCAGGAGCTGATTTTAAATTAAATACTGGCCAACTCAGCTATGGAAACCCAAATACATTTGGAACAATTTGAGATGGTGAATCTCTTTCAACTATAAACTTAATAAAATCTAAATACAGATCAAGTATCTGGGATAAAAATTTAATGTCTGAATTGAGCTGTAAGTGGAACACTCTATAGGATTCCAAAGATGTTAACTGCCTCATTAAAAATCCTTTTTATATATTTACAGTGGAAGTGATACTATTGGGTTCTATTTGGCTGAGATACATTAATAGAACGAATTGCCCATTTGTTTTCCTAATGTGACAACAGAAAATCTAGAGCGACCCACGTGCCCAGCTCTGGAGCTCTTAGGCTTTTCTAGCCCCACAGTGGGTCTTGGCCTGGCATCAGGCCTGGTCCTTGGCCTGCTTCTTGGCCACACCTGCCCTTTGGTGCTGGCACTAGCTGGGCAGACATGGGGCAGAGGCGAAAGGTGAGACCTGAGCCTGTCGGGCAGGGAGCATCTGGGAACAGCAGTGGCCAGGGTTGGGGTCAGGATCCAAGGCCACCAGCCTCGTGGTCTTGGTTGACCAGGAAGGGGGAGAAGGGACACAAAGCCACAAGACAGAGAACAGTTGTCTGCAACCAGGGCTCCAAATGAGGACCAGGTCACAAGGGCTACGCGTAGGGCTCAACTGTGTCAAGAAGTGCAGAGCAGGACAGCAACTGGCCGATTTACCCTGAGCATCTGGACTCCCACCTATCTCTGATGGTCACCACGGAGAAACTGGCAGGCCTGGGTCTGTGTTTGCCGCCCCTGGCTGGGGGCAGGGTTCTCGACCTTGCCGAAGCCCCAAGCCTACAGTGGCCTCTGTGCTCAGCCCAGCCTTGGCTCTGTGCTCCCCCACACCCTGGTTGCCCCCAGGAGTGGGATTCTAGGATCCCTGTGACCTGTGGCGTGGCCCAGGTGGGCAGTGTCTGCTGTGCTCCCAATCAGCAGCCCTTAAAAATACAGGGCAGGGCCTCCCTGGTGGCACAAGGGGTTAAGAAGCAACCTATGGGGCCTCCTGTTGTGGCACAGGCGATTGAGCACAGCTCTGTGAAGCTGTCTACAGCCTCTGCAGAGCCAGTTCGATCCTGGCCAGCCTGGCGAGGGCCCCACATGGCACAGCAGACCTCTCCTGTTGCACCTGCTGCTCCCCTCAGCAGTGTATTTCGTCAGTCTGCCTGTTCTGTTCCCCTCTCTGTCTCTGGTGAATCCTCTCACCCTCCCCCGCATGTGGCCTGTACCTCGGTTCTTGTATAAATAAATAAATAAATCTTTAAAAAAAAAAAAAGCAACCAATGAAGCTATCTACAACCACCGCAGCACAAGTTCGATCCCAGGCCAGCCACAGAGCTATCCACATGGCGCAGCAGACCTCTCCTCATCCGCCCACTGTTCCCCTCAGCAGTGTACGTCAGTCAATCCATCTGTTCTGTTCCCCACTCTGTCTCTAGTGAATCCTCTCACCCCCTACACCTCTAGTCTGTACCCCAGTTCTTGTATGCATAAATAAATTTAAAAAAATACAAGGCAACTGGGGTTCTCGGGGCCAGTGCTGGGACGGGAGGTTCAGGAGCCCGGAAGCATCTGAGGGATGGAAGCCTCAAGATCTCCATCACGCTCCCTCTACCTTCCTTCCCCTTGACCCCCGAGGTTGCACAAGAGGTGGCTGCTCTGGCCAAATTCCACTTCTGTCTCAATCCTTGGCCCCCTCACACACAAGCCAGGTCAGAGCGGGTCACGCAGGCCTTCTCCACGGTGCTGGCCACATGTGCCACCCAAGAGGACAAGGTGTGGTCTCGTGACCACAGGGGACCATCCCCCACTTTGCATTTGGCTGGAGTCCAGGCTAAGTGGTGTCATCAGCTTCCCCATAAGGCTGGCTCGTGCTTCTCTGCCTGGCGGCAGAGGGGCTCTCAGGATTTGGGGGCCTCAGTCCTGGCCCCTCCTCAGGTTTGCCTTAATTTTTTGGTTTGACAACAGAGAAAAATACTTTGAGAGAAACTGGGAGACATATATGGCAGAGGCTTCTCCTTGACCCCATGCAGGCCCTTATATCTTGTTGAGTGTGTGCAGATACGCACACATACACACGCTACTGAAAAGCTTAGTGCTAGCTTTTAAAAATCTTTTAAAAAATACTTTCTTGGGCCTCCCTGGTGGCTCAAGGGGTTAAGCACAGCACTATGAAGCAATCTGCAGACTCTGCAGCACGAATTCGATCCCCAGCCGGCCAGGGAGCAACTCACATGGCACAGCAGACCTCTCCTGTCTCGCCCGCTGCTCCCCTCAGCAGTGTATTTCAGTCAGTCTGCCTGTTCTGTGCCCCAATCCTCTCACCACCCCGAACCTCTGGCCTGTACCTCAGCTCCTGTATGCATAAATAAATAAATAAATCTTTAAAAAAATACTTTCTTATGTTCTCCAGCTACATGTCAATCCCTGATAACCAGGTGGAGATATCACCCAGGGCAGGATGGGAGGACTTTCAAGTCAGACTCTCCAGGGGGTCCCATCACTTGTCCCAGAGTCTGTGCGAGGAAGACCTCACAAGAAGAAATGGGGAGATCCACTGTGCTTCGTGAGGTGCTGTTTGGTTTTATTAGACATCAGGAATTCTCAATTTGAGTGGGAAATAGCACAGCCACCCTATTAGGGAGATTAGTGACCAAGAGCCTTGGCAAGAGTCTCCTGGATGACCAGATGACCACTGACCTAATCTGGGCCCTTGTCTGCAGGCAGGCTCACCCCACCTCTCATTCCTTGCTAAAGTCCTCAGGGAAGAGGTCAACCACCAGGCCACCCCTTCCAGCACCAACTTCTGTCTGCTAGACAAAAGCAATGAGTCTGTTTAAAGGGATGGCGCTTAATTTAGACATGACTCAAGAAAACCACACTGGGCACGGAAGGATCTCAGTCCCCAGGTTATGGGGGTGAAGGGGCAGAACCCAAATCTCAGTGAAGAAAGACCTTCTTCCTCAACTATTCGCAGGAAATACTGAAGATAATAAAAAATAGAAAGATGGGTGACGTACCCTTTACACCAGAGGCTGTAAGATCCCACCAGGCCCAGGAGCAGGGGGGTGGTGTATGAGTGAAGTGCAGTGACAGGTGAAGGTGGGGAGGTGGCAGAGGGGTTCAAGTTGAGGGGGACCAAAACAAACTGGAGACCACGGCAAACCCCATTCTCCATGCTTTTTTTATGGGCAACCTCCCAAGATGCAAATATTGGCAACAAACTCGAAAGATTTTTAAACATGGTGGCAGCTCCATCCTCGGACAATTTCCTAACTTAAAAAAAAAGTCCACCTCTAAGCCAAAATTCCAACAATTATTACACAGGAATTATTAGACAAACAGAAAAATATAGCAGCTTCAAAAATATCAGTCTTCCCATTTTTAAAGAAAATCCACACAATTCAGTGAGTTCCTTTTGGGGTGGAAGGAAGTCAGCGGAGTTCATCTGTTGGTGAGTTGGTCATTAACATGACACCCAAAAAAAAAGGTGGCATCTTACCTTCTTGTGGTACCTCCATGGGGCGGAGAAGGGGTGGGATAAAGTTTCCTTTTATAGAGAAGAAATGGAGGCACAGAGCAGGGAAGGCCCTTTCTCCATACCACAGAGCCCCCCAGCCACAGGTCCCCACTCTATATTTTGGCACCAACCTGGAGACAGCAGAAGTAACGAGTGCAAGTTCAGTAGCACCTGCAGAGCACTGGGCAGACAGAAGGCACAGCTGCTCTTCAGCTGAGTGAGCTGGGCATGAATGAGTGAATTTGGCAAATTCCCCTGGACAGTGCCTCCTGCTGGATCAACCAGGAACTGTTCTGGCTATTCCAAAGACCCTGGCTATCCCCAGGGGCAGGTAGGGAAGACAGGGAGCTAATGCATAGGTCCCTCCATGAGTGAAAAGATGCCTCCCTGCTCATAACGGAACTTCTTGGAGCTTGTCGGACCCACAGACACTAAAGAAAGGACAGGACCTCAGCACCTTTGGGCTGGATCTACTTGACCTTGGACTTGTGATTGAGAGCAAGTCCTGGGACCTTGTTTTCCAGACCCCTACCTTTTTTCCTTTGGTGCTGTGGGCAGTCCCCAGCGACCTTCAGCTCAAAGGACTTGGTGCAGAAAGTCAATGTCCACATGAAGAAGTGAGGGCCCTCTCCTCGCCTATGCGTGCAAGGCCATGTCCGTGCTGAGCTGCAATGTACTGACAGTCTGGGCTCTGGCCCCCCGGCTGGCTCTGGGAGACAAGGCCCAGGAAGCCTAGCCCTCTCTGCTCTGAGGGACTCTTCTAGAATTTGACAGGGAGATGGGATTGGCTCACTGGGAATTCCTTTAAGGGGCCATGCTTGGCGTGCTTGGTGTGCTTGTTGGATTGTCCTGTATGTTGTGAGATGCCCACTACATGCAGCCTGGCCCCTGGCCGAGAGCTACTGGCTTGGTCGACCCTCTTGCATTTGAGAATCAGAAGCCTCAAAGGCTGAGTGATGTATCCAAGGCTACACCCCCAGTCTGATGACTTCTATTCCAGAGTTCTCTCCAGCTGCACTTGAAATGATGGATGCTCAGTGGACACAAGTCAGGAGGCCCCAGTAGCGCAGAGCCCCAGAGCAGACAGTCGACTGTGTCAGTGGCACAGAGGAGTCTGGGACCAGAGAGACAATGACCTCGCTGTGATCAGAGAATGAGCAAATGCCAAGTGGGGCCAGGCTACAGGTCTGAACTGTCAATGTCACACCACTCCCTGCTCCCAAGGTGGGGCCTTTGCAGTTACCACCACCCGAAGGTCAACACAGAGGCATGGCAGGCTCAGTGGGAAGGAGCCGGCCCTCAGCCTGAAGGTTAGAGCCAGGGATGCTGGGGTTCTGGTCTTCATCTCGCATCTCCTGTGAGTTCCGCGGGGCTGGGGAAGACTCCGTCACAGGTGCCCACGGCCTTCTGGGGATCCTCGCAGTCCCCGTTGGGCATGATGGCTGTCAGCGCCAGCTCTTCCTCAGGGTTCCGGAAGTGATCTGGACATGAGAGAGAGAGATCACCAAGCAGAAGGTTCATGAGTGAGGCGGCTAGGAACGGATGAGAGGAAGTTGGCCCCAGGGAATAGCGAGTCAAAAAGCACAATTAAACACACATCAAAAACCTTAAAAATGCACATCCCTTTAGCCCAGTGATTTTACCCTAAGGAAATAATTAGTAATAATTAGTGGAGCCACAGCAGCTGCCCTGCTACCAGCCAGAGGATGGGGCAACACTGAGGATGGCCTAGCACAGGGAAGGAAAGAAGGGGGCAAAGACCCAGGTGCACCAGGCCTCTGAACCCACCAGCCCCGGCTTCACCTCCAGACTATCTTTTTGGTGAGCCCGTGAATTCTCTTGCTGTTTAAGTTAGTTTGAATCATGGTTTCTTCTTTACCTACAGCCGAAAACCTTCTAAATAATTGAAGGTTGCAAAAGGAGATGGGGTGATAAACTGGGGGGTCAACCCACATGCCAGGATTCAGTCATTAAAAGTGAGATACAATTCCACAGAACTATGTACACGTGTAACATGAAACGGGGAAATCTGAAGATCGGTGGATTGTTGCAATGTCAGCATCCCGTTTATGTGACTAGCCTGCAGTTTTGCAGGATACCCCCACTGGAGAAGCTGGGCAAAGTGTATCAGGGAATCTATTTGTATGTTTCTTTCAACTGCATGTGAATCTATAATGACCTCCAAAAAAAAGATAAAGACCCTGATGTATAATCATGCCGGGAAATACTACATGGTTATGGTATGTTACTAATAAAGAAAGCAGATTCCAAAATAGTATGTGTGCATAGTACATACATAACCCTGTATCAGCATATATTATGAACATTTCCCATGGTCCATAAATGCCGTTTATATTTTACTGCATTCACTTTTCATATGACAGTAAACAATTTGTCACATGCTACAGAGAGAAGTTATTGAAGATTTATGTAAAAGTTTATGATTCCTTTGCTTTTTTTTTCTCTTTTGGTTTCCATATATAACTAAAATGATGAAGGAGAGCAGGAAGTTGACATTTTTGGAATGAAATATTTAAAATATCTGATACAATTTGTAAACAATATATTATATGGAAGGGAATTTATTAAAAATTAAATAGCACAAAGAGATTAGACAGAGAGAACGGCCTACCCAGTCTGTCCTTCTAGTGAGAGCTGTAAGATTATAGCTACCTTTGAGTGATGGAATTAAGTGAATGATTTTTACTGTTTGGTTTTCTTGTTTGTATTTTTTGAACTTTCACGTGTGATGGCAGAATTCTAAGCTGGTCCCCATGATTCCCACCCTGTAGAATTCCTGCCCTTGAGGGTCAGTGGAATCTGTGAATCTGGTAAGTTAGTCTCCCCCTTGATTAGGGTGCCCTACATAAGGTAACCCCAAAAGGGGCTCTGGGTGATCTGTGCAGTTATGGGAGACAGGAGAGTGCTCCCCCTGCTGACTGAAGGAGTAACTGCGAGTTGGAGGGGAGGGAGCTGCAGGGGATAAGGCAGCAGCATCACAGGCCTGTGGCAGCAGAGCAATGAATTCTGAGCAACTAGAGTTTGGGGAGAACCCGGGTGCCATAAAGGAATGCAGCCCAGCTGACACTTGGATGCTGTTTGGTGAGACCCAGAGGGCCCTGCTAAGTGATGGCCAGACTTCCGGCCACAAAATGCACAAGACGATAAATGGGGCATCCTTTGAACCCACTAAGTTTGTGATCATTTATTACCTGACACTGGAAAACCGATACGTTAACTAATGAGCTTTGTTTAAATAGGGGACAAAATGAAAGTTTATTTAAAGCCCGTCCACTGCTACTGTGAAAAAGCTACATACAGGCTCAGAGCACTTTGGGGGTGGAGGCTAGTGCATTGATCTGGTCACTTCCTGCTCCCCTAGGACCTCCTATCTCCTTCACAACACCTCCTGTCCATCCCATCTCTGCCTCGTGGGGTGCAGGCCATCCAGGGGCCCTCCTAGGACTAAGCACCTCTCTTAGCTGGGCTGCACCCCTTGGCAGTTCCTGCTCCTCTCTCAACACCCCCCAATCTCCACACCCCTGCTTAGAAATCACCACTCATTATTCATGGGATACTAGGTTCAGGATCCCCATTTGATCCCAACGCTCCTCTGCATCTCACCCCATTACTCTTTAAACATGACGTCATGTAACCCACACTTTGCTGACAGTGCTCCCTCTCCTGGTCTTCCCATTCCAACTTGGGAAAATCCCCAACCTCCAGCACAAATGTCACCTGCTTCAGCCTGGATCTTCAGGGGAGGATGAACGCCTTTGGCTCCATGCCAGTGGTGACACCTGCCTGGCAGCCCTGCCCACGCTGTCGTCATGGGTGGAGACTCCTGGGGCTGGACCCTTGCTGGAGCAGCCTGTACCCCTTACCCCCAGGCGGTGTGGCACCTTCCAGGGCTCAGGGGACCCTCATGGGACAAACTCCCTGGATGTTGGCCCACTCTATCCCTTCAGTTCCTGTGTGCATGTGATCATTCCCATAATCCCAAGCGCCTGGTCCTCAGGGTCCAGGCAGGCGGCACACTCACCCTGAGCTGGGCCAGTGGGACAGGTGGCTTCCGGATCCTTCCCCCGGCTCCAGGGGCCCCAGGAAAAGCAGGTCAGCAGTGCCAGGAGACCCCGTCTCTCCCAGGCTCCTTCTAGAAAGAGCAAAGTCCCAAGGGCAGTGGGTGAGATGCTGCTTGACACGACTGAGAGATTTTCTGTTCAGCAAGCCAGACCTTCAACTGTCAACTGTCCCAGTTTCCACTGTCTGGTTAACAAAACAGATTCTCATTTGCAAAAAGGGTGGGATTTTTATACTTCAAAAAAAATCCTGCCTTTCCCCCAGAGAATCACTTTCTCTACGTTACCTCGTTTCGTCTTCACAAAACCCCTAGAACTGCAGGAACAAAATTGACATACATTTCATTACTGCCACACAGAACCCAAGAAAATACTCAAAGAGCAGTAATTTCCCCCTGATTTTAGTTCAAACTATTTCTTAATGGGAACAGAGTCATTCTTTTTTTGATAGAAAGTTACAGAACAATCACCCATTGATTTGTTTCCTTATTATAGTGCCACTCCGTTATCTGGGGCTCACCGAGGCACCCCAGCTATCTGGAAAAAGGTCAAGTGGAACAAAGTTTAAAAGCAAAACAATTCCAGGCAGCGCAAACACAGAAAATCCTTGTTGGTAAATCTTTACTCAGGATTTATTTGCTTTTACTTTGTAACCCAATATGGATAAGCCTGGAATCTTATTTTTCCAACCCAAAGGCAGCTGGGTTAGGCATAAACTAGGTAAAAGGGCACTGCCAAGAGGCAGGGAACCTAAAAGTGTAAGACTACCTATCAGGCAGGAAAGGAAGGAGATTGGAGAACTTTCAAAACCCAGACACAGCTGCTAGCAAAACCTTGGCAATGCTAATCCATTTGGTGTTTGGATAACGATTCCGCCCACTGAAGAAACAGCAGGAAACCGGTTATAATCACCCTCATGTCCTTCAGTCATTAGTAAAAGGTTTCATGTCGTTCAGTGTGTTTCATAAAAGTAGAAAAGTCTAACCCAAGAGAGAATGACTTCCTGGCAAGGTATTAACATTCTATTAAGTTAGACCTTAGGGGGGGCACCCTGCAGGCCAGCAGGGCACTAGGGAAGGGAAGGCCCATGGTGATTACACACCCAAGGGCAAGCGACAAAACCAGGGAGGAGCTAGGAGAGCAGAAACACGAAGGGTTCTGGGAATTCGCTTCTGGCAGAGTGGGGAGGGTCAGGGAAGGCTTCCTGGAGGAGGAGGTCCAGTTCTGAATGATGGGATTGGGGAGGTAAAGAGGAGGACAGGAGAAAGGGCTTTTCATTCACAGGCACTTGCAAGCTTGGCTCCGAGGAACTGAATGTTGTTCCCTGGGAGTGGGTGAGGGGAAGAGACTACGGGCAAAGAGAATTTTTAGGCACTAATTCATTAGGGGGCGGACAACTCCTCCCGTGGGGCCGGGTCAGCCGAGGGGCTGGCGTCCACAGAGGGCCAGCCCGCCTCGGGACACTGCCCTTTGCCGTTCAGGGAGCTGGCTGTGGAGACTCACAGACTCAACAGAAAGGGAGTGTGGGCTCGGGGCAGACAGGGCAGGCCGGGTTTGCAGGGTGGGGGTGGGGGCGGGGGGTTGGGTGGCGATGGCATCTGCAGGCCTGACATCTCCCGGTTGCGGTAAAATGCACCCGGGGGCAGCACCCAGCCAGCCTCCGTGGGCTCCCCAGCAAGCAGAGCTGGAGGGCGGAGCGGGGGGAACAGGCGAGCGGCCGGCAGGGAGAGAGGCGCGCGGAGCTGCTCCATCCCCGGGCTTGGCCAGGTTCTGCTCTCTGCAGCGCCCGTGCCCGAGGCCTCGGACGCCGGGAAGCACCTGTGTCAGGATGGCGGAGGGTCCGACTCTGCCGCCGACAGTCCTCGCCGGGGACTGGGCTCAGATCCCTCCCCCGGGGCACTTCGGTGCCGCGCGAAGGGCAGGGGCGCTGCAGGGACAGCGCAGCCAGGCGGGCAGGACTGGGGGTTCTGTGCGGGGTCCCTCACATCCTCCCCAGCCCCTGCGTCCTGGCAACGTTCCCTGGGTTCATCCCCAGAGCCGGGCCCGGGGCGCCCCGACCTGCGGCGGGAGCTCGAGGCACCGCCGAGACCCCGTCGAGCGCCGCGCCCGCTCACCTGGACACCTGCGCGCCCCGAGCCGTTCCCCCGCCGCCCCCCGCGCCCCCCGCGGCTCCCAGGTCTTCCCCGGCCCGCGCGGCCCCGGCCCCTCCCGCGACCCCAGGCGAGGTCGGCGACCTCTGGGTCTCCACCTACCCCGGCGCCCAGGTGGGGTCGGCCCGTGGCGCCCCCGGGGGGCCTCCCGCCCGCCGGCCCGAGCCCGCCCCGGCCCCGCGGAGCCTCACCTGGTGGCGCGGGCCCGGCGGCCTGCAGGGCCCGGCAGGCGGCCGCCTGGACGGCCAGGCTGGAGGCGGGGTGGTCCGGGCAGTAGGCGGCCGCCTGCACCGGGCCCCCCGCCTGGCGGCCGAACACGGCGCGCAGCAGCGCCTCCAGCAGCCGCAGGCCCCGCGCCGCCGCGTCCTCGGGCCCGGCCTCGGCCACCAGCACCCCGACCAGCGCCGCCCCGGCCGGCCGCCGGCCGCGCACGTCCCGCAGCATCTCCCGCAGGCGGCGGCGCGGCTCCGGGGCGGCCAGCGACGCGGCGCGGCACAGCACGAAGACCAGCGGCGAGCGGATGGCGCGCGCCCCCCGCGCCCCCCGCGCGCCCCGCGCGCCCCGCGCGCCCGGCCCCGCGCCCTCGGCCGCCGCGCCGCCCGGCTTGGCCGCGCCCGGCTCGGGCGGGAACACGGCGCGGGCGAAGCCCCGCAGCAGCGCGCGGCTCGGCTCGCGCTCCCACAGCTCGCCCACCAGCAGCACCTGCCCGCGCCCGCCCGCCGCCTCCACCAGCGCCTGGAAGGGCGGCTCGGCCGGGCGCGCGGCCCGGCCCGGGGCCTCCGGCTCGCGCTCCATGCCCGCCGCCCGCGCCCTCCCGGCCCGCGCCCGCTGCCGCCTCCGGGCGGGGGCGCCCGGCCGGGAGACACGCCCCGCGCGCCGCGCCCCTCCGCGCCGCCGGCCCCGGGCCGCGCTCCGGGCCCCGCCCCTCCCGCGGGCCCGCGGCGGACGCGGGGACCCCGAGCCCGGGCGCCGCCGCCCGGCCCCCGCCCCCCGCGCCCCGCGCCCCGCGCTCCCCGCCCGAGCCCCGAGCGCCCGCGGGACGCCGGGGCTGAAAGTGAAGCGAGCGCGCGCCTCCCGGGGAGGTCGCTTCAGACCCGCGGGAGACGTTTTCGGGGAGCCGGCGTGGCTTGGGGACAGGGGGTTTTGGGGGCAGCGCCAGCCCCTAACCAGTAGCTTTGGGGGCTGGGGGAGGCGCACCAAGAAGGGGAGGTGAGAAAAGGGGGGAGCCGGTCACCCCCTCCCCCGTTCTATTTGTCACTGAATTCATCTTTGGGGTCTTCAACATTTAAAGTTTTATTTATTCATGCATACAAGAACCGGGGTACAGGCCAGAGGTGTGGGGGAGAGAGGATTCACCAGAGACAGAGTGGGGAGCAGAACAGGCAGACTGACTGAAACACACTGCTGAGGGGAGCAGCAGCGAGACAGGAGAGGTCTGCTGCGCCATGTGGGTTGCTCCCTGGCTGGCCGGAATCGAACTCGTGCTGCAGAGGCTGCGGACTGCTTCATAGGTTGTGTCCTAACACTTGCGCCACCAGGGAGGCCTCTGTCTTCAACATTTAACACAAACTTACGGAGGGCTCGTTATTTCAACAAATCCTTATGCCTTTGGCACTGGAGACTGGTGGAAACCAAGGAGGTAATGTTGCTCCCCGTGCAGAGGCGTAGGGTCAGCTGCTCAAGGTGGGGGCAGGTAAGAAGCAGGGATGCTCTCCTTTCCTTCTTAGGGTCTAGGTCAGCTTTGCTCAAGAGAACCTCCTGTGGCGATGGAAATATTTTCTATCATCTGTATTGTCCAATGCAGTGGACACAAGGGACCATTTTGAGCACCTGAAATCAACCTAGTGCAACCCATTTTTACATTTCACCTACACGAAATGTAGATGTGACTGTGACATTGGACATGCTGGTCTCTTTACTGCCCCTCTGTTACTCAGTTATAGACCCAAGGTACCTTTGGGTCAAAAGCATGATAATACTCAGCCCTCTCCTTCACCATGTAACGCCACCACCTGCTTTTCTAGTTACCCTGTTCCTGGCCCCTATAATTATGCTGTCATAGTTTGTTCAATAAATGGTGCTGGGAAAACTGGACTCTGCATGCAAAAGGATGAAGCTACACTACTACCTCACACCATGCACAAAAACCAACTCAAAATGGATTAAAGAACTAGACATAAGACATGAAACCATAAAATACAGAGAAGAAAAAATAGGTGAAAGACTACATGACAAACACCTCAGTAACATCTTTAAAGACACATCACCCAAAGCAAAGATAGTGAAGGAAAGGATAAACAGCTGGGACTACATCAAATTAAAGAGCATCTGTACAGCAAAAGAGACATTAACCATAAAAAAGAGACAGCCCACTGATTGGGAGAAAATTTTTGCACACAATACTAATGATAAGGGACTGATCACAAAGATCAACAAAGAGCTGACGAAACTCAACAAAAACAAAGTAAACAAGACAGTCAAAAAATAAGCAGAACTAGAAAGACACTTACCTAAAGAGGAAATGCAAATGACCAACAGGCATATGAAAAAATGTTCAACATCACTTGTAATCAGGGAAATGCAAATCAAAACCACAATGAGACACCACCTTATACCAGTGAGAATGGCACATATCAAAAAAACTAGCAACAGCAAATGTTGACGAGGAGGTAGAGAAAAAGGAACTCTCCTGCACTGCTGGTGGGAGAGCAAACTGGTCCAATCACTGTGGAGAGCTGTGTGGAGGTTCCTCAAACTACTAGATATGGAGCTTCCATGAGATCCAGCAATTCCACTCCTAGGGATCTACCCAAGGGGCACAAAAACATTAATTCAAAAGGACACCTGCACCCCTATGTTTATAGCAGCACTATTTATAATAAGTAAGCTATGGAAACAACCCAAATGCCTGAAAATGGATGATTGGATCAAGAAGATGTGGTACATATACACAGTGGAATATTACTCAGCAATCAAAAAGGATAAACTCTTGCCATTAGCAGCAACATGGATGGAGCTGGAAGGGATTATGCTTAGTGAAATAAGCCAGAAAGAAAAAGAAAAATATCGGATAGTTTCACTATAGGAGGAATGTAGAGGAACCAAATAAGAGATTAGGGGAAAACAATAATAAAGTAAAACTCAAAATCAAGCGGCAACCATAGACCACAGACATTCTGTAGGGGAGGAGGAGGGAGAGGGATTAGGACAAGCGTGGGAAGAGCACAAGGGACTGCGGTGATGGTGCATGGGTGAATTGGTGGTGGGAATTTCACGGGAAATCATACATTGTACAAAAATGAAGGATGATGTAATAAATATATATATTAAAAAAATTATGCTGTCACATTTCTTGCTGGAGAAGGTGTATGTCCATTCAAGAAACAAATTTCTTTTGAACACTTGCTGTAACCAAACAAGGAATTCAAAGATGAATAGGCAGCTCTGCCCTAAGGACTTATCCAGCATTTGTTTTAGCCACAATTTGGGGAAGGATCCAATCTCTTTACCTTGTACACTGTCTTTGCTCAATGTGGAGATCTGGGGATTTGAGCAAGCAAAGCCTAAGATTTGCAGCAAGAAACCCTGGGCTGGAGTGAGGTTGGGTTCCAGCATCAGCTCAGTGGTTCAGTCCTTTAGGGGGAAGGCAGGCAAGAGAGGATGACTGCCTACTTGGCTTAGATGAGGTGTTGGGGGTGGGGGCGGATGGAAGAATGCTAAACTCTTCCCCTTGGAATGTGTGGTCCCTGAAGCTGGCCCAAGGATGTAGCCTTGAGAAGAGGTGTTGTAATGTGGGATGTATTGTTGAGACTGTCTGGACTGCATACCTGCAGAGTGAAACACTCTGGAAGCCTCTGTATGAGTCTTTAAGATATGGTGGGGCAGGGTGGGTGTATGCAGCAAACCCTCCTACCTTGCAGCTGCCCAAGATAAAGCCTTGTTAAGTTCCTTTGTTCATTCAGACCCTAGCTACCAATCTGGAGGGTCCGCCTCTTAGTTCAGTCTCTCTCAGCCTTGGCATTTGAGCCGCTGCATTTGAACCTGTTCCAGATGACACCTGGGTTTCCACCCAGCAGCTGTTCACTTGCTTCACTGATCCTCTTAGCCAGGTGCTGTGCCTAGAGCTGGGGAGAAACTGGAGCAAGTGCCTACCTTCAGGCAGCTGACTTTCTAGCAGAGGCCAGGCGGGAGAGACAGTAAACCCAGAACCCAGGCACTGAGTATCAGATGGTGAGCAGCAGCTCTATGAAGAAAAGGCAGCCTGACAAGACAAGAATGTGGGAATGTGCTGAAGGTGCTGCTCCTGCTTGGGATGACGGCCCTGAGGGTGCCCCAGAAGAGAGAGGGGGTGGATGAGAACTGAGAAGCTCATGTGTAAACTATAGAAAGCCTCTTCCTCCCTCCCACCCCTGTGGGTGAAGGAAACAGCAGCCCCCGGTGGAGGAGGGCTGGATCAGTGGAAGGGGGTAGGCGCAGTGAATCCTTATCCATGCTCTTGTCTCTGCCCTCATTGGTCCCTGATCTTTGCCCAGTCCCATCCCCATCCATATCCCTACTCTGCCTTGGCACTGGGAGCCCATGCAGTTGTACTTACCAGAGATGGTAACATCAGGCTGAGCTGAGGATCACAGAGCACCCGGACCCTGCTGCACCTAGGATCCCTCTTCCCCTGGCATGGTCAGGCTTCGAACCTCAACTCCTAGTCCATGAAGAGCAGTGACCAAGGGGGAGTGTCCAGAGTACCTTGGTTGGGGATGGGGTGGCACATGGGGCATAGTCAAATTCGCATTGTAATACCAGGGGTGATCACCCACTCCTGTTCCCTAAGCTCCCAGAAAGGATACAAGGTAGAACCTAGGCCTCAGTCTCTTTTGGGTGTGCCCCTTGCCAGTCAAGGCAGTGGATATGCAGGGAAACATGACTCACTGGGAAAGCTATAAAATATACTTTATACTTCTGGAAAGTATAAAGACAAAGCACATTTAATTGATGTATGAATTAAGATTCATTTCAGTCATTAATAACAGAGATAGATATAAAGAAAGTTAACATTTTTCTCTTTTGTAGAGGTTTGGGGGTGACTCCTTCATGGCTAATATAGTAGCTACTTCATTAGCTCTTTGAAGACTCAGTTTTCATGCCACGTCACTATTCCCCCCATCTCATCTTCATGAGCCAAAACGGCAGCTAAAGCTCCAGCCATCACATCTATATTCCAAGCAGGTGAGAAGTAGAAGACTGAGGATGGAACAAAAATCAGAGTGACAGGCCTCCCTGGTGGCGCAGCGGTTGAGCGCTGGGTTGCGAAGCTGCCCGCAGCCTCTGCAGCACCAGTTCGATCCCCGGCTGCTCCCAGGCCTCCGGGCGAGGGTCCCACATGGCGCACAGACCTCTCCTGCTGCCCTCTGCTCCCCTCAGCAGTGTAGTTCATCAGTCTGCCTGTTCTGTTCCCCTCTCTGGCTCTGGTGAATTCTCTCACCCTCCTGCGCTTCTGACTGTACCCCAGTGCTTGTGTAAATAAATAAATAAATCTTTAAGAAAAAAAAAATCAGAGTGACTTTAGATTTCTTAACAGCCATCTGGATTTAGTTGAATGAAATTTTAAAAGCATTGAAGAGGGAGGACTTTGAACCTAGAATTTGATTGCTAGCCGAACGACTGGGTATATTGGGGATCTGATGGTTTATCATCTATAGCCCCTGTTAGAAAACACTCCTAGAAGACACACTCCAGGAAGAAAAGGAGTGACTACAGGCGTGCTCAGCGGCAGCAAGTACGGGGGATTCAATCACTTC